CAAGCAGATGATCACTCTGACTGAGGTTTTTTAGGGGGAGCACAGAAATAAGCCAGGATTTGAGCCTTCCATCTTGTTCTGACCCACCAGTGGAAGTCTAGTTTGGTTCTATGGGAAACATCAGTAGAAATAGCATTTAAGATTGCATTAGTATACAAAAGGTAGAAAGCATATGTTTTCTGTGGTGCCTTTGATTTACGGTGTTGGAAAAAAACATTAGCTGTACCATGATCTGACAAAAGAATGGACTAATCTGTCTTGGAAGAAGTACAACCAGAATGCTCCTTAGAATTGAGGGTCAAAAGACTTCACCTCACTTACTTTTGAACATGTTATCAGGAGGGACTCGTTCTTGGAAAATAACATCCAAAAGAGCAAACCCACGGGAATTGAGTCAATTATGACTCATAGTGACCCTATATAGTGTTTCTGAGACTGGAAATCTTTATGGGGACAAGTAATCTCATTTTGCTCCTGCTGAGCAGCTGTGCAGTTTACAGCTTATCCCACAGAATCCTTAGGAGGGACCAGTCCCTGGAGAAAGACATCATGCTTTGTAGAGCAGAATGTCTGAAAAAGAGGAAGACCCTCAACAAATTGGCTGGACCCAGTGACTGCAACAATGGGCTCAAATATAGCAATGATTGTATGGTTTTACTGTTGTATATGGGGTGGCTATGAGTTGGAAATGACTTAGCAGCACCAAATAACATGCTTTCTGTGCAAGATTCAGATGAACTCATTTGTGGAGATCCCTACCCATACCTTGTTCTCAAGATGAACATCCTAAAAAATTAAGTTTAATTTTTTAGAAGTAAACTGGAATGTGTGTATGGCTTTTGTTGTTGATGTTCTTAAAGAAACAGAGCCAACAGAGCCATTAATTAGCATACAAATAATTTATGCAATAAGTGTGGTTACAATTCATAGTTGTCAATGATACAATATTTAGCATCACAATTATAGGTGAGAAAAATTTAAACTTTATGAAGTGGAAATTTCAGTAACATGGTCTCACTTGCATGAATGTGCTGTCAGGTAAAAACAGAACCAAACATTGCCCATGTACTACAGGAAAAGACAATATTGGGATGGGATATATTTTTACGCTCCTCATTGGTTTTGTATTTTTTGTCATTGAGACTTACATGATGTTTGGGTCAAACAAGAAACCCAAAGAGAATGTTTATGAAAGTTTACAGTCATTAAACAGTATTATTTACTCCTACCAGTAGACAAAACAAACTACTATAGATCAATGATACACAAACCAGGACTAAAAGCAGTCAATCTGCCACTCATGCAGCACAAGAGATATTGAGCATGCTTAGTCTTTACAAAGGCATTGACTACTTCAGACAAGCAAGTTCCAGAAATCTACTGGTTTGATTTCCAATGCGTACTAACTAAAGCTATTATGGTTGAAGACTATGTATTTGTCAGTGCCAGCCCTGAGGAGATGCCAACTAGAGGAAGGTAGAGATGGGTGGGAGAGACCTGGGTAGGGCTCTTTGGACAGCTCTGCATTACTTTACCTATGCAGCTCCAGATGTTTCACAGAGTAAAACAAAGGATATTGAAATTCTTGGCCCTCAAAAAGGGCATTTGTACAAAATCCCATAGATAAAATGGATACTAAGTACCTCTCAAGATGAAGTCTTCAACGTTAGAGAAAAACTCAATGCCAAAGTTTAATGTATACCAATGTCTGAATTTCTGTATAAAGATAATTTATCCCAAAATAGAAAAAGGAATTTTAGAAGTATTCTTCTGGAAATTAGTAGAGAGAATATATATATATATATATTTCGTGCTATGTGTTCTATTCAAAGAATAAAAGTTTTCTAGACTCTTTCCTTAAGGCATTTGTCATTCTTCCTTCCATACCTTGCACTTTAAGAGAGTGCAGTGGCTTTGTTACTTGTAAAAGATTCCATTTCTTTGAGTTGTCTTATAGAAAATGTGCCCTGGATTTATCATGCCACTCCGGGGTCACATTTATCCTTCAAATAAAAATAACATCACAAAAAGAAGAAGGAAAAAAATCTAAGGCTTGAATAGATACAGACTTGCTATGAGGTCAGAAAATCAGTGAGAGAATTAAAACTACAAAGCACCACTTGCAAAATACATTGCTTCTTGATAACCACACAAAATACTGTGCAGTAGCCCTGCTGAGTGCTTGGAGGTAAATATCCTGAACAATACAGGAAGTTTGGTTTTATTATCAAGGGAGTAGAGATCAGAGTGCGCCTACAATTTGGTTGCTTTATAATTACAGGCAAAATGGGAAAGTCAAGAAGTGTGCCAGATCTCAATTCAAAGAAAATGTCATTTATCTGATAACTAAAAACCAACCAGAATGGACACATTCATAGGTGTGCAACTCAATTTATATAGATATTTGTACATTCATTAGCACTGACATTTTTACACAAAATCCTTTTTGTAAGGGCACATTAAATTGAAGAGACTAAAAGAGAACTTATGCAATATAATGCTTAAAACTATACATGCAATATTTGTACACATGGACTAGCGATTCCTTGAAAAAACTCTTTGTCTACAAACTACTGCTTTCTGGGAACAAAACCCCTTCATGATTGTGGGCTCCTTTTCTATGGCACCTAGTGCCACAAACATCATGGTGAAAATTCAGTAGTAAACCTAGTTTAATATGAGTTTTGCACATTTGTTTCTATACAATCAAGAAAAAAGATACACTTTGTATTAACAAAAGTTCATTTCTGGTTATTTGAGGCATTTACTCCTAGCCACTTTGGCTCATTCTATTTTATGAAAGGAGAACAATGACAATTTTTTTAGAAAAGGGATATATGCTGCCTTAAAATATTTCTGTGTTGGGAGGAACATAAACTTTTTTTGAGTACTAAGTATGAGTGTATGATAGATTGCATCTGCAAAATCAATGTAGTGTTTCTCTGTAAATTCTGCAACTAATGGTCATTGCAGTGCCTTTGCTGATTTTGGATTAGGGTCTTCTGAGATTGTCAAATACTCTAACAAACACAGGCATATTTAGAAGATCCAAGAAGTTGAATGTATGAAATGTTATTTGTTTGAAATAACAAGCACTTTAGTGGCAACAGATACTCTATGTAGAGCTACTTGACAAAAAATACTTTTATACATTATTAATATGTTGGAGGAAAAGAAGATTAAAGGGACAGAGATGAATGGAAAGCTGTGGTTGATGGAACAGAAATGTTGGTTGAAATGCAGTTTTGATCAACTTAGAGACAGAAAATGACATTCAAGCTGTTATCAAACTACTAGAAACAACCCTGATGACAGCCTGACATTCAGAGTGTTTCACTGTAAGACATATTTATAGTCAGTGTCACACCTTCTCATGAAAAAAAAAAAAGGCTGCAAGCAGACCTTCTCAACTTTCATGAAACTTCCACCATAGAAATTAGTGAGTTCCAATCAAGAATAATGAGCTGGTCATGATTTCAAATGCTGAAATATACAATGAATTCACAAAGGGGATTCATTTAGTGCAATTAAAAAAAATCTCCTCTAGAGGTATTTAGCTGCAGATGTTCTCATCCTGAGCAAGATAAGTTGTGCAAAAGGTGTCCCCCCAACCCCAAAATCTTGCCTTCTTAACAAATCTAAGAATAATCTAATGGTAATACACCCTCTTAGTGTGGATTTAAAGTACAAACTGAGCTAGTTATTGGCAAAGATGTAGCATCCTCTTTTGAAAACTGCCTCCTCCCTCCCCTAGAAAATCCCCTGGTTTGATTCCTTAAAAAATGATCCACCAATAATCAGCCTTATTGCCCAAAAAGTGAACAGCAGGAAAAGTGGATCACTTGGCTATGCACTGTGCTCCATAATATTTGATCCTTGTGATGTTGAATACTGCATAGGTCACAAGTCCAAAGAATCCAGAGTGAAGATTTTGTGTTCATCATTTAAAGTCACATTGATTTGGCCATCTCTTGTGCAAGTAGTAAGTCCAGGTCACACTCTTCTGTGCTTGTCCAACACATACATACTATACTTGGAACTTCAGCTTAGCCATCAGTTCCTTTTATAGAAAAGGGGTGCTACCCAATCCCTAGTTTGTTGTGGTGAAGACTAACAGTAAATGTTGACAAGTAAAATGGACAAGGAAATAGAGCTGATTTGCCCTGGTGCCTAAGAAAGGAATGTTCAAATATTGACATGTAATTTTACTTTTAAAACAAGTTGAAATTCTGAAATATGACATAAAATTATCAAGTCAGATTCATGACCTATATGGCTATTGGTTAAGGACTGTGCAGAAACTACCATCTCATTATCGCTACATAAGCAGTTTATACAGAAGCATACATCTCAAACTGAATATTTGTGCATGCAATATAATTGCTAACAATAGGTTTGAACTATAGCTTTAGGAGCCTCAATATGATACTGTAGCTTGGTTAATCAAAATATTGAATCATATATCCATGCAATAAATTATGTATTAACTTTTAAATAGCTTTAAATATTTCTGCTAAAAATCCTAAATGGTTAATTGAGCATACAATCTGATCCTGATGCTGTTGCCCTCTAAATTAGGTATATCATTGATAGTTTGTAATATAGAATATGTGACTGAGAAAACCATATAATGGGTTTCAGTGAGTTTCTTGTAGTTAGGCCCCCCTTCCCTAGGTTTTGTCCTCTATTCCTCTATGGTGCAGTGCAAAAGAACCTGGGATTTGGAGTCAGAGGATTTGGGTGTGAGTCTTAACTCAGACATTTGCTAGCAGTGTCATTTTGGTAAATCACTTACTCTCAGTAAGACTTAGTTTTCTTCTCTATAAAATTGAACACTAATAAAACCTACCTTACAGGGTGTTGTGCACTTAAATGCTATAAAGAAGAGAACACATTCTATAATTTCTAAAGGGCAATGAAAATATTAGTTACTATTATCACAATGCATTATGAGAATTAATATTCATATTAATTCATAAAGAAATAAATCTTATATCATGTCAACGTGCAGCCCTAAGTTTAGCAACAATCAAGGCTGCCAGTTGCTGGGCATCTGCTGTGTGGGGATTCTTCTCCATCACTGCAAGGACAATGTTTGAAGGGAAAATATTGCAAAGGTTCTTGTAGGTCTGATACTGGTGCTCTGGAATGATATGTTCTCTGGAATCATTACATATACCAACCCAAGGATTTCTCCAAAGCTGCTCCATCTTTTCAGGCATGCTCCGGACCATGACTGATTCATAGCATGGTTGTATGAGACTATTATTCAAGGGATAGGAAGGGTAGTCATAGGAGTCGTTTACACAGGGCAGGGGATCCCAACTGGCATGTTGTTCTCGGCACAGAGGAGGTCGTCTTTGCCTCGTGGGATTGCTCTCATAGAGGCGGGAATCCGAAATGCTGTCCATTCGAGTCATTGCTAGAGCACGGCCTGGCTGAGAGCTTGCCCCAGGATGGATATTGGGAGGCATAGGGTAGTCTCCAAGACTGCTGGAGTGTATTCCAGTTGCTGTGTGCTGGGCATGCAAAGCTAAATGGGGGACTGATTGCTTGTGAGGGGCTTGCTTAGAATCCTCTGGGCAATAACTCTGCACTCGTGTTAAGGCTTCTTGGTAACCATGAGGAAAAGGTTGAAGATAATTCTGGGATGCTGAACGATGCATCTTCAAACTACTTTCAGGATAGGCATCAGCTACAGCCAAGTATAGATTGTTGTAAGAGGAATAAGTGTCATTCCTGGTATGGCTCAGATGATTGTCAGAACAGAGATTGGAATTCTGAACATATATACTCTGGTCTGTTTCAGCCATGAAATACTCTCGATTATGCATGTTATTGGTGTTTAGTTTGGAGAAGTCACCTAACATTGAGTAGTAGCCATGATCCTCCAGTGACTCAAACTGTGGGTATTGTTGAGTATAGGTAATTGGGGTCCCATGGCTGTGAGTAACCAGAATAGGGGGGTACTGCATACTGGCCATGTACTCTAAGGAGGTCTTCTTGTGGGAGAAATGGGAGGACCCTGGCACTGGACTACTGGCTGAACGGGTGTTCAGTGCACCTACTGCATGGCTTTTGGGGGCCAGGATTGTGGGAACACTTAGAGCAGTCACAAGTGAGGGAACAGAGCTGGCCTCAGGCTTATGGGCAATGGACAGCCATTCCTCAGGCTCCAGAGCCACACACCGGATGCTGGGATCTGATTGGCCCTTTGGGGCAACATGCTTGACCTCTGAGGTTATCTCACCTTTGGCACTAGATATCCCTTTTCCACACGTGGTCAGGGTGCCTTCACTCATGGTTTTCACTGTGGACAGCTTGGCACTGATGCGGAGCTCATCAGCCACTGAACGCTGGAGTTGGTTGGCCCGTTCTGGGTGGTAGTATTTGCACTTGTGGCCATAGGTACATTTTTTGCCTGAAAAATAATGTCTTGAAGTAAGACTCATATAGGGTGCAACCTTCTGTGCCAGAAACTAGGTCATTCAGGTTAGGGGTTTATGTTTGGGGTGAAGATAGAAAATTAATCACTCCAAAATATGAGCAACAATACCAAAGCGACACTGAGAGGAAAAGGAGGAGGTGGAAAGCTGGAGAGGAAATTGCAATGTGAAAGCCAAGAGCTGAGCAGTTGAACAGTCTTCATCTTCCTGTAATTCACAATATTGCTTAAGTATAATACGCATACAGAAGAAGTATAGGGTAACAAAAGGCAGCATAGAGGAGTACAAAGAGCACAGGTTTGGAAGCCACCCAGGCTTGAGTTTCATTTCCAGTTATGTCTCTTACTAGCTTTTTTACCTTGGTAAGTGATTACTTTCTGAGTTAATTTTTCCTTTTCTGTAAAAAGGTTTATAATCATCCCTGCAGTATAGTATAGGGTGACTATGAGGACTAAATGAGAGATTCAACATGAAAGCACTATGTGATTTAAATATGCTAATTAAAAGTAAAAACCCAAATATTTCACAAACGCAAATGTCTATCCTCAAAGAGAAAACACCCAAAATAACTTCAGAACTAGTAGCTGATTCCGGGAACCCAAGAGGAAAGCGAATTTTGGGAATGATGAGGGCAACAAATGTATAGGTGTGCTTTACACAATTGATCTATCTATTGTGATGAATTGTATGAGCCCCAATAAAATGATTAAAAAAACAATATGTAAAAAAAATATATATATACTTCATAAAAATAAACATACTTAATAGCTTAGAAAAAGAAATGAATACACTGATAGCAGATATTTTATCAGAGGAACTTGGGTAAGAGCATTAAAATTATATTTTAAGAGCAAATCAAATGAAAATGAATTTTGGAAGGAAACTGAAAATACAAATCAGAAAAACAGTATTATTAATTGACAAAGATGCATGCAACTCTTAGGACTAAATCAAGTTTGGCATTGTTCTTTATGCTTCCATAGGCCTTCTTGAATTCTGCATTGCTCTGTCCCCAACAAAATCATGCAGGATTTTGAAAGCTATAGTGCACATAGGTCAGTTTAACCAACTACTCTTCCCCTCAATTCGTTACCTTTTCCTCGTGTAGTTTCTAGGTCTTTCTTTAAATACCTAATAGAGAATACACGAGGACAAAGACTTTAAGTCACAGAAAGTGAACAAGGCAGGATTTCTCATTTGAAAGAGTCCTCATGTTTCTCATAGTTCTACATATAGGTACTCACCATAAGGGCATGGTTGCTTCTTATACTCAGGAACAAGGGATCTCTTTCTTAAGAAATTTTCAAGACTTGGTCCATGGCGTCCTAAAGGATCGTCTGGAGGCATAAATCTGGAAGTACCCAAAGAAAATATGAATGTCTTCCCTTCTGACCCCATGACCTCTTTGCCTATATTTTATTATATAGAAAGGATGCTTTACTTTGTGCATCATTTTTTTTCATGCGGTATATATTTTAGCTATACTGGTTTGCTCAACATGCCACCCACTTTCACACTTTTATAGCTTTATCCATGCTGGCCCTTCACCTGCAATGCCAGCCTGCCTTTTCCTATACCTGTGTTATCTCTTCTCTGAGGTCTTTTCCTACCATTCTGGGAAGATAAAGCCATTAAAAATACTTCGACTATAGCACTTATCACAATGCATTATGTTCTCTGTCTCTCGTTCTTTGTCTGTCTGTCTCTCTCTCCCCTAGACTTAGAGGCTCTTAGGGTGAGTTGTTGGGTTTTATTTAGTCTATTATCACCACAGCAACTAGCACAATGTGTGGTACATAGTATGTACTCAGTAATATCTATAGAAAATTCACTATTCATAGTGGTAACTTGGATATCAGCTATTTCGAGTCTACTGGAAGGAAACATACTTGTCATTCACAAAAGAATACATCAGCAACCTCTCCTCTATAAACTTCTTCCATTCTGGCTTTTCAACTTGAAGGTCTCGGTAGTTATCATTGGACACAATGATGCCATCAGAATCAAAAGCCAGTTTGACTATGAACCGGTCATCATAGCAGACAACTCTTCTGCCCTGGACCCTTCGGGATGGAGTGAAGACGAGAATCTTTTCCTTCTCCAGTTTGCGCAGTATATCTTGATCTGTCAAAATATAGGTTATATGCCACAGAGTAGAAATCATCTTTAGAAAGTAGTTAATAGCATTTTCTCTCTTAAAAATTATAAAGTTGGCATTAGATAAATATGCTATTTGCTCTTGTAGAGGGAATGGACTCTATTCCTGGCTATGGCACCAATTTAGATGTGATTTTAAGTAAGAAACCATCCATTTAGACTTCAATTTCCTTTTAAATAAAATGACGGAACTGGATTCAATGGCATCTAAACATTTAAACTTCCATGGAGAGTGGGAAATAACACTAATATCACTCTTGATGCTTGTTTTGCCTTTTGACGAAGCATCTTTTGGCTGTTGAAGAAAACAGGGCAGTAGACAGTACAGGAACACCTTTTATTGTGCTTTCCTTTATTGCACTTGATAAATGTTGTGTTTTTACAAGTTCAACGTCTGTGGCAACCATATGTCAAGCAAATCTATCAGTGACATTTGCCCAATAGCATGTGCTCACTTAGTGTCTCTGTCATATTTTTATAATTCGCACATCTCAAATTTTTACTTAATAGACTATAGTATAGTAGAAACATACTTACTGGGAAACCCAAATATTTGTATTATTTGCTTTATTGTGTTGGTTTGGAACTGAACTCAAATCTCTCTGAGGTTTATCTGTAGTCTGTCAAGAGGAGGGTAAAGCATCTCTCCTAGAGGCTCTTATTTTTGACTTTTGCCTGAAGGACGGCTAAAACTAAGGAGAAATGTCTAGTCATAGCATGAAAATATGGATTTATTTCCTTTTGGTTCCCTAATTGCTGAGGAAATAAAGTTTATGGTCTAGGATTGATCAGGACCAGAATCTACTATCACCTTGAGACTATAAGTCTGTGCAATTTCTGGCAGACAGCTTCATATATAACAGTCCTTCACTAGCTTTCCCTAGTTACCACATTGCACATCAGCTGTTGTTCAGAGGAATGGGCACCTATATACTTTCAAACTGCTGTGGAAAGCCAGCTTCTTACACAGTTTTAAGTAAATATCATGAGCCAATTGCCATTAGGGTAGCATTGTGACATTTTGGGACCCTCAGCACAGTTATCGATTGTGTTGGTATAAAAATGAATAGATTCCAACAAGAATCATTATTGTAAAATATTATATTCATTGTTCTTTTTATTTTAAAAGAAGATAATATTGAAACATTCCTATGCTCTTCAGAAAGAAAGAATCCTAGAAACTTCCTAGGATAAGTCAGCTTTGAGTGCCATGAGGATTTCCTCTCTATATATTCTGCCTCCAAGTTGGTAAACCTCTACAACCACTTCTCTGGTATCTAATGAGGTCTATTGTGTACCACGGTTTCTTTAGTCTTTGGGAAATTCAGTCGTATTCATAATTAGATTAATCTATCTTTATTCTGATGCCTAAGGTCAAATAGAAAAACACTGCTTTTCCAACTGGGTGCTTTATCTTTTGCTAAGTCAAAATTGTCTCTATATAACTGCCACAGAGCTATGATAAAAAGAGCTCTTTTAAAAATATAGACTTCCAGAGGGGTAGTGGGGAGAAGATGAGTCACTTAGGGTTCAGTATAGCAATAGTGAAACCCACAACCTTCCTCTAGTTCTTAAACGCTTCCTCCCCCCAACTACCATGACCCCAATTCTCCTTGCAAACCTGGTTAGACCAGAGGAGGCACAGCGGTACAGATGTGAATTGGAAATGCAGGGAATCTAGGCCAGAAGAACCCCTCAGGACCAGGGGTGACAGTGAAGATAACAGGAGGTAAGGGGGGAGAGGGTAGAAAGGGGGAATTGATCACAGGGATCTACATATAACCTCCTCTCTGGGGGATGGGCAGCAGAGGGGTGGGTGAAGGGAGACACCGGGCAGTGTAAGATAAGATATAATAATAATTTATAAATTATTA